GCTTCTCCCTCTCCCACTCCCCCTGCTTGTGTTCCTGCTCTCGCTGTCTCTGTCTCTGTCAAATAAATAAATAAAATCTTAAAAAAAAAAAGAAACAGACTGTCGCTACCACTAGTAAGAGGAGGAGGAGGACCCCACTACCACCAAGGTACTCCAGCGGCCAGCCTGCCAGGGGGCCGAATCCCGTCACTGGACACCCCTCGGGGAGGTTACTCTAAGTCTCGTTGGTATCTCGCCTTCTTTCCCCCTGGGAGATGCTAACTTTGGCAACCAGAACATCACTGGAAGGTTTAACTGGGATGGGTGTAACTGAGTCAAATCGAACCATTTTTCAATCTCCTGAGAGGTCCAGATTTCTCTGAATGATCATCTGCGGAGGAAAAGTGGGCATGTTTCCTTAAGTTGGCATTGCCCTTGCCGCCCCCCGCCCCCCCCAGCCTGGCTAGTACTGTCCTTGTTCGGCCCCTGTGGTCCCTGCGCTGACCGTCTGCACCGAGAGGTGGGATTTCTCCGGGCTGGAGCACCCTGCACTTCATCTCTGCCCTCACCCTTCCCTCACCCTACCTTCGTCGTACTTTTGGGGTCTGTCTCCCACAGGAACAGGAGTTTCTCAAGGGCCACGGGCAGGCCTGCCATGACGTGGGGCAGGAAGGACTCTCCTTTGTGGGGCAGGGGGGACCCTGCCAGAGTTGACTCTGAACCAGGCAGGCGAGAGCCCAGGAGTAAGCAGCCCCCTTACTTGTACACTTTGGTGTTGTACGTCCTCTCCCCAGGGAAGCCAAACATGCCGCAGACCACTCGGGAATTCTTGGCTGTCCAGTGCTTGTCGCAGATCTGCTTCCAGGTCTTGCCGTCCTTGACCTCCACATAGCCCTCTGTCACGGGGGTGCGCTTGCGGTAGGCCGACAGGATGGCTCGGATCCGGATGTCCTCCACCTGGATGTTCAGGTTCTGGGAAGGCGGAGGCACAAAAGCAGAGGACTCACTCGCTGGGTCTGGCCACGAGAAGTGGCTGCAGGCCGGGCACTCTGCAGCCTGCGTCTGCCCTCGGGCCCGGCAGAGTGGTGTGTGTGTGGGGGGGGTGTGTGGCGGGGGTGTGGCGGGGGGGTAGGAGTGGCCAGGAGCAGTCAGAGAAGAGCCCCAGGACCCCAGCAGCTTCTCCTACATCCTACAAAAAGCCTGGACAGCAGAGTGCGGCCGCTCCCTCTGTGGGTTCTCAAAATAAGCACAGAAGAGAGAATGCGTTCTTTGAATTTTCAAGTTCCATATTAAAAACAATTCGGGTTTTGTATTTTACTCCAAAGCATGTCCGGGCACACATGTGCCCGCATGTGTGTGCCTCCCCACTAAGCTTTCAGTAAAATTGAAGTGTCAGGCAGATGAGCCTCGGCCATCTTAAGGCTGGTGGTGCCACCTTGCATTCTACGTTATCCCCTGGGGTCCGCGTTCCTCAGTGAGCAAATCCCAGGAGAGAAGGGGGAGGGCTTGGAGAGAAGAGGGGCGGGAGGAGCTTTGTGGAGGGACTCAGGGCTGCCCAGCAGGGAGGTAGGGATGGTCACAGTCGCTGGGCTGTGGCAAGGAAAGGAAAGATTCCAAATGACTTGAGGCCCTAGGAAAGCCCGCTCCTCACCCCCACTCCCACCCCCATCCATCGTTCTGAGGCAGTGATGGAAGAGTCAGGACCCCGACAAGAGGAAGTGGAAGACACTGGGCAAGGGGGGGACGGCCTCTTGCCACACTGCATTGTGGGCTCTCCTCCCCACACCTCTGACACTGAGTGGCAATGTCCCTGCCCCACGCCTACCCCAGAGGCCCAGGGATTTGGTAGAAGGACAGGGGGCCTCGAGAGGCCAAGCGGGATGGGAGGAATGGGGGACTCCATGGAGTTAGTGATAGCTGTGCTCAATCTGCCCCCAAACACTACAGAAGCTCCCTCCCAAAGCTCTCAGTTCCAGTCCTTCCTCTTTCTGCCCCTGCCTATGAGACCACCACCAGCTCTTGCAAGGGCCCCTGCGTCCATCTCCCTCTTCCATCTGCTACAGGGCCAGCCACCAGAGGTCTTTCTAAAACACAGAGTGATCCTGTCCCTTGACTGTGTAATAATGCCCCAATCACTTAGTGAGGTGCCCACAGCCGGTCATGACTGATGCCCCCTGTGCCTCCAGCCCCCTCAGTGTCCCCAGCCCCAAATCTATACTCAGATCTGGTTAACCGCAATAGCAACAGCTTCCATGTGCGAGCCCCATAAGGAGTGTTTTATGTGCGTTCTCTCACTTAATCCTCAACTAACAGAATGGGGTGGTTCGGAGCTATTGCCATCCCCTTTTCCAGATAAGAAAACTGGCTGACTCTATCTCCTGAGAACCACCTAGAGGCAGGGAGTGCAGTGTGAGGAGCTCTCTGAGCTGGGCCAGGGAGGAAGGGGGGAGCGCACAGGATCCTGGCAACCTGAGTGCCTGCGCCCCTGTCCAGCCAGGATGCAAATGAACCACGAGGTTGAACAGAACCATTATTTGGGTGCCCGGGGATTCATGTCTCCTCACCCCGGCTTCAGGGTGCAAAGCCAGGCCCTGTTTCAATAGCCCGGCAAGGCAGTGGAAAGTATGTGGGCCAGGAGTGATGGCATTTGGCCCTGGTTCCTTTCCATGCAGAGAGGAAGGAAAGCGCCAGGGGCAGGATTATGTTTGCCAGCTTAGATCCTGGATCCTTTACAGCCTCCATTCGGGCCACAGGACCTGTGCCACCAAGACACGTGGACAGGGGCAAGCCAAGAAAGGGCCTGAGCTCTGGAGCAGCGACCTGTGGCCCAGCCCCCTCCTGCCTCTTCCCACGTCCGGAGGAGGGGCTGGAATTCCAGTGGGTAATGCATAATGCCCAGAAGGAAAGTTACTCTCCAGGGCAGGCAGCCTGGGCCAACTTTGTTAAATTCCAATCCTTCCCTACCCCCCACCCCCCACCCCCAGCGCCATGGGGCAGCAGTGCAGGCTAAGGGGAGATGTAAAATGTGACCCTCAGCACCCCAGCTACCACAGTGGGAGAGGGGACACGGCAGACCCATGTACCCTTGCCTTGATGCAAGGCGGCATCTCTTCTGCAGAAATGTGACAGTGTGGGGGGGGGAGCCAGGAGGGCTCAAGGATGTGGGAAACGAGGTTTAGAGAGGAGAAAGTACTAGAGCAAAGTGTCCTTGTCCTTATTCTTCCACCAACTCACTACCTGTGTGTGTGTGTGTGTGCGCGCCTCTCTGTGTGGGTCTGTGTGTCTCTGCATGTCTGTGTGAGTCTGTCTGTGCACCTGTGCGGTGCAGGAGAGGTCCAGAGAGGGACTTGTTCTCTCCAAAGCCTTAGAAAAGTGGTCAGGGTCGCTCCTTCAAAATGGAATGTCTTCTTTTCTCCCTCCATGGAAGCAACCCCTTCTCATTCCGTCAGGCTCAAATTCACTTCAGTCATTCATTTATTCATTTGTTCAACAAAATACAGTCTCTGCCCTCAATGGACCTTGAAGGGTTCCTCCGTCTGCCCCAACCACAGGGCTCTGTCTCTTCTCTGAATAACAAAAACTGCGAGGGCCCTCACTTATCAAACACCAACCGATTCAGTACACGGCAGGCTCTGGGCTCACTCAACTCCCATGACAACCCACGAGCAGGCCGACGGTACACCCATGTTCCAGGTGAAAAATGAGAAAACTTGGCAAGGTTTTGCAACTTCTCCAAGCTCACAGAGCCAGGAAGTAGGTAAACAAGGGTGAAGACTGAGTTCGGACTCCAAGCCTGTGCTCTGGCCTGGGGACCGCTGGTCTCTGCCCTCCCACTCACGCCCTGTCCAGGACGAGGTACTGAGTTGACCCACACGGGGCAGGGGCAGAGGCTTAGCCTTCTGGGTGGTCCCTTTGGGGCCTGCACGTTTGAAGTCCATCCTGTGCTCCGGTGGGAGGAGCCCTGAGTCAGACCAGAATGTACGTGAGGGGAGAACTGCTTCCCAGCTGCTCTTGGACTCGGGCCAGGGGGCAGCAGGGAAACCTTCGTGGCACGCATTCAGGGCTCCCTGCTAGCTAACGGGCTCCCTGCTAGCTAACGAGCTCCCATAGGCCGCTCAGAGACTTCTGTGCAGGAAAACACACACAGACACACAGAACTTCCCTCCTTACTTCACTGCTGTGGAATCTCTTCCATAACCACAAGGGTTAGATTTTTTTTTTTCCTCAGAAGTTCAACTCCAAAAAAGAGAAGATGTGAAACACTGAAACACAGACACATTTTTCTTTCTTTTCTCACAAAGGGCTCTCTAGACTTGCTAGTTATACATTAAGACCAACAGCCCAGAAGCTGGTAATGCATCTGGCACATTTTCAAATTAAAATTAAAGTCTGAATGCTGTCTCTCTTGCCAGAGATAAGAGTTCACCCAGATCTCCAACAAGGCCTTCCTCCAAGGAATTCACAGAACCTTCTAGACTTGTCCTACTCAGAACTCATCTCATCCCCGGCAGGGCTCGAGCCCTGAGAGTGATGATCAGCCGCTTCCAAAAGGGCAAATCAAGGTGCAGGGAGGTAAGGGCCTGCCTTGCTTCAGCCAGGGGGCTGGTGGAAAGAAAGGGTGGTGCAGGAGCACCAGGGCAGGACTCCCAGTCTTGTGTCTGCATGACATTTCACATTTGCAGCATGTGTGAATGACTTGCAAAAATTCCACAATGTGACAGTCTGGGGCTGTCGCCAATGAGGAAAAATCACAAATTTTGAAAGTCTAGTTGAAGATTGCATCAGGTAAAGATACAGGGGGAGGCAAGGCAAGGCAAGGCAAGGCAAGCAAGCCTATAAAGACATACTTCACAATTTGAAAGCTCGACACTGGGTGCAAAGCCCCCCATCCCGGGAGGCATGTTTGTAACGGCCCCACCTTAGCCCAATTATCTTCCTTCCCTCTGCTTTAGAAGCTGTCCTTGAATATCAGCCCAGGCCCTCCCACCTGAGAAGGCGTCCCAGGAGAGGTGCCGCGGAGGGAGGACGGCAGTGGTGAGCTGCACGAGTATGCAGTCACCCCAACAAGAATGCGCGGCTGGTTCCACACCACCTCTGTCTGCTTAGCAGGCCCCATCCGTCTACTGCTAACGGCTTCCTGCGTCTTGCTCCCTAAGCCCTCAGCTGCCTTTATTCAGCCGTTTCAAAACCTGGCCTTCCAGACCGAGATCCATTTTCCCAACCACCAGCTCGGTACCTTCCTCAGCACCTCAAACCAAACACATCCAAGATACCCTTAACCTTTCCTCCGCTCACCGAGTCAGGCTCCCGCCCTTCTAGCTTGCAGACCACAAGCCTCACGTGCGTTCTGCACCTTCCCCTCCTCACGCCTACCGCCCGGCCACCCAGCGACACCTTGTCTAGCCTTCCGTCACTGCCCCATTCCTATCTCCATCTGCCAGTCAGGTGGCAATGGGAACCGTGGGAGTGAAATGACTGGGACTCTGTCATTTCACACAGGCTGAGTGTCTCCCCGGGGTGGAGGACTCGCTGACCCGGTCCACCTCTCACACCACCTCACCCACTATGTAGTCATGTCTTGTTCCAAACCTTCCCATGGCTCCCCAGGCCTTAGGCTCCCTGGTCTGATCCACACCATGCCCTCCCTTCCCTTTTTCCAGCCAGCAACCTTCTTCTCTCACTGCCAGGACATCACTCCTTAAAGCCCAGCACTGAACCTCCCTGCAATTCTCCCTTCCTTCTCTCTGAGTCCTATGACCTACAGTCCCTACAGGGACAATGTCATTCACACGTTTGAACCGTGTCTGCTGAGTGTTCCTGGCACCGTGTGAGGCCAGGGACACACAGGCCAACCCGACACACCAGTCTCTTGCTGTCACTCCTGACAGGAAACAGCACCATCTCCTCCACGAAGCCCCCTTCCCCAAATATCTGGTCCACAGAGATTGGATTTCTTTATTCCCCGTGCATCT